CAGAGGCCTGTGTGTTCAGCTCAAGAATGTGGATCTTCTCTCTCTGTTGATTACAGTGGGTAGGTTTCTTCAGAAAAGCCCCAGAGGCAGGGACCCATGAGCCCCAAGGTTAGAAGTGAAAGTGGAAGGCCTCAGTCACATGCTGCTTCCATGCTTCCAGGCTGGGCAGCAAGGAGGAGATGCCCATGACATGCCAGGTCTCCCCCTCTGACACCAGTGAAGTCTGGTAGGAAAGCCTCTGCCAGGAGGCCAATCATGGTAGGCAGCATTGCAGGGTCGGAAGCCTGAGTCCGGAATAGGAGCAGGGGCAGGCCCCTGCAGAGAGGCACTTCCGGCCTGAAGACAGCTCCATTGAGCCCCTGCAGCACAGGTATGGTGCCCTGGACCAAACCCGCAGCCTGGTAAGGGGCGCCTGCCAGGGCCACAGCCAGGAGGCATTCCCCGAAGCCCTGCTCCCCTGGTGCTGCTGGGCTGTGGGAGGTGGTGACACTGAGGCCAGCCTCTTTCACCAGCATTTTTGGCGTTCACCAAGTTCACATCCGCCTGCTTGGAAGCCTCCTTCAAGAGGCCGATGATGACTGCAGGGCTTAGGCAGTTCCCAGCATTCTTCAGGGATGTTCCTGGTGTTATCACCTGGATGGTCCCTTTGGGAGATCCAGCCCAGGCTCGCATCAGACCTGGGCTTCTGCCAGACCAATCCAAGGCTTGGTGTGTGGAGAGAAGGCGCTGGTAAGGGCCTGGGCATTTACAACCCCTGTGAGAGATTTCCCCTTCACCATGTCCACGAACGGAACAGCAATTTCCTCCCCACAGCGGCTCTGCGCCTCCTTAGTGCTGGCGCCCAGGTGGGGACAGCTGATGACATTCTCATGGTCCACCAAGGTTCGGTCCTGTGGTGCCTCTTCCGTAAACACGTCCAGCGCAGCCCCGGCACACTGGCCCGACTGCAGGGCCCAGAGCAGGGCGCCATCGTCCACGATCCCTCCGCGGGCGCAGTTCACCACACGTACCCGCTTCTTGCACTGGACAAACGTGCTATTGTTCAATAAGCCTGTGGTGGAGGGCAGGAGAGGAGTGTGCACAGTGATGAAATCCCAGAGAGGCCAGATCTCCTCCAGGGGCAGCAGCTGAACACCAAAGGAGGCCGAGACCTCTGGGGAAATGATGGGGTCATACCCTATCGTCTTCATCCCAAAGGACTGCATCCGGGTAGCCACCTCCCTCCCAATCCCGCCCAGGCCCAGAATTCCCAGGATCTTCCCGTTCAGCTCTGTTCCCATGAACTGCAGCTCGGCTATCAGCTCGTCTTTGCTAAGGTTCTGCTTCTCCACCACCTGCAGCCCTCAGTCTTGCAAGATCCTCCGGCAGCAAGGGTCCACGCTGTCATCGATGAGCACTTTCTGCAGATTTGCAAAGGCCATTGCTGGAGGTGGCCTCGGAGTCGGTGCTGCAAGTGGAGGTGCTTAAGCCGAGAAGCTGTGGTTGGGCCTGGCGCGCCGGAGTCCGCGTATGTTTATTATGTCATTTCCTCTGCTTGCTTTGGGTTTAATTTGTTCTTTTTTTTAGTTTCCTCCTCTTCTTCTTCTTCTTTTTTTTTTTTTTTGGTTGCTTAAGACAGAAGTCAAGACCATTGACTTGAAAGTCTTTTTTTTTTTTTTTTTGAGACGGAGTTTCGCTCTTGTTACTCAGGCTCGAGTGCAATGGCGCGATCTCGGCTCACCACAACCTCCGCCTCCTGGGTTCAGGCAATTCTCCTGCCTCAGCCTCCTGAGTCGCTGGGATTACAGGCACGCGCCACCATGCCCAGCTAATTTTTTGTATTTTTAGTAGAGACGGGTTTTCACCATGTTGACCAGGATGGTCTCGATCTCTTGACCTCGTGATCCACCCGCCTCGGCCTCCCAAAGTGCTGGGATTACCAGCTCGAGCTTCTAATATAGACATTAAGTGCTAAAAAAATTTTAAGTACTGTCGTAGCTGTGTTCCACAGATGTTGATAGGTAGTATTTTCATTTTCATTCCATTCACAATACACTTAATTTCTCTTTGCATCGTGTCTTTGACCTAGGGTTGTTTAGATGTGTGTTACTTTGTTTTAAAATATTTGAATATTTTGATGAGATATTTTGTTATTGATTTCTGATTTGATTGCTTTGTGGTCAGAGAACATACTTTGTATGAGTTAAGTCCTTCTGACTTAGTTCTTTTGCTAAGCTTGATTGCAGAACCTAGAATGTGGTGTGTTTTGGAACGTGCTCCCCGGGTACTAGAGAAGCATGGTGTTGTTCAAGTCTACCCGCTTCTTGCTGATTTGCTGCTCCCTTGTTTTATCACTTACTGAGTAATATTCAAATGTCAGACTGTACTTGTGAATTTGTCTATTTGTTCTATCAATTTTTGACTCATATATTTTGAAGCTGTTATTAGGTACTCAGTCACTTAAGATTATATGTTCCTGATTAACTGAACTTTCAAAAGTCATGAGGAAATGACTGTTTGAGCTGGTAAAATTTACTTCGGCGTTAACATAGCCATTTCTTCTCAGGCTTCTTTTGTCAACTCTTAACCTGGTATATCTTTTAACGTCTTTCTGAACAATTTGTCTTTTTAAATTTAAAGTGTTTTTCTTTTCTTTCTTTCTTTCCTTTTTTTTTTTTTTTTTTTTTGAAACAGTCTCACTCTGTTGCCCGGGCTGGAGTGCAGTGGCGCAACCTCGGCTTACTGCAACCTCTGCCTCCTGGGTTCAAGCGATTCTCCTGCCTCAGCCTCCCAAGTAGCTGGGGGTTACAGTTGCATGTCACCACACCCAGCTAATTTTTTGTATTTTTAGTAGAGACAGGGTTTCACCATGTTGGCCAGGCTGGTCTTGAACTCCTGACCTTGTGATCCTCCTGTCTCAGCCTCCCAATGTACTAGGATTAAAGGCGTGGGCCACTGCACCCAGCCTAAAGTTTTTTTTTTTTTTTTTTAATAGGAAGCATGTAATAGGTTCTTGCATTTTTATCCAATCTGATAATCTGCCTTTTAAATGAGATTTTTAGGCCAGTTTCATTTATAATGTGCTTATTGATGCAGTTAGGTTTATCTGTCATCATGCTTTTTGATTTCCATTGGTCCCTGCAGTTCTTTGTTCTCTTCTTTTTCTGCTTTCTTCTCAATTAGTCTAGTAATTTTTGTGATTTATTTTTAATCTCCCTTTTATGGCTTATTAGTGATAACTATTTTTTTCTATCTCAGTGATTGCACTACAATTTATATAGTATATGATTTTAACTGATCACAGTCCATCTTCAAAACTATTATGCCGTGTCACATATGGCATAAGAAAATTACAAATGAAAAACCAAATATCATACGTTCTTACTCGTAAGCGGGAATTATGCTATGAGGATGTAAGGACATAAGAATGACACATGGAGGTTGGGGACTTGGGGGCAAAGTGTGTGGGGGGGTGAGGGATAAAAGGCTATGGATTGGATATTGTGTGTGCTGCTTGTGTGATGCTTGAGTGCACCAAAATCTCAAACCACCACTAAAAAATTTATTCATGTAACCAAAGACCATCTGCTCCCCAAAAACCAATTGACATTTTTTTAAAAAGGAAAATTAGAATAATATACTTTTATTTTCTCTCTCCCAGCCAGAAGACACTTCTGGATTTGTAGGGTTATAGTTTTCTTTAAACTTAAAAAGTTTTGGCCATTCTCTTTATATTTTCCTGTCTCTCTTTTTCCCTCTTTTGGGACTTATTCCTGCTTGAAGTTTTCTCATAGTTCACTGATGTCTCAAATTTATGAAACTTCTCTTTGGTGATGTCTAATCTGTGTTCACTTCCATCCATTGTAGTTTTCATTCCTGACATTGTGGATTTGAATCTCTACAAGAGTATTTTGCTTTAAAAAAATATGTATCTTCCATGCCTCTGCCAATCTGCTTGAGCTTAATTTTGATATACAGTTGAGTTCCATATGAACAGCTTGATCTTTCCGGTCTTCCCTTTATGATTGGGTCGAATTTCCCACTCCTGAGGCAAGATCTTTGTAATGGCTCTGTTCATTCCCATGTGAAGTCTGAGTTTTCCCAGCATCACTCATGGGAATGGACACTCTTTTTGGCACCTTGTGAGCAGCAGGCATGTTTCTTTCCAGTTTTTTTAGATGTTTCTTCCCCTTGGTCTGGGGCAGTTTTCTGGCACACATGCGCTGTTCAGTACTCTGCTAGATAGCCAGGAGGTATTTTTGCAGATCTTCAGTGTTCTTTCCCTGTACTCTGTCTCCTTTTCCGTATTCTGTTTTGTGACCTCTGCCTGCCTTGGCTTTACCAGACTCTCAGCTTCATCGTCTCATCTCAGGGAATCAGGTAGACTCTATGTCACCTTTTTCTCTCTGTGTGATAGCCTGGGAACTCTGAGAAGGCAGGAAGCTGGAGCATTGGTATGAATTCCATTTGTTTCCTGTCTTTCGGGATCATGGTCTTCATTACCTGAAGTCCAATGCCTGGTAAATCATTGTATAATATATTTTTTCTGTTTTCCTTTTGGTTATTTCAGGCAAGAAGGTAAATCAGTACTTGCTGTCCATCGTGGCCAGAAGCAGATTGCAGCAGAGCGTTGGCACCTGCTGTCGACTGCTAGAATGCTTTTCTACCCCTTTGCTTAAGTGTTTCCTTCTCACCCTTCATTTCTTGGTGTAGTCATCTCTTCCACAGGGAAGTCTTTCGTGGGCCCAGGATAGATCAAATTCTCCTATGTGATCATGGAACTCTGTTTTCTTACACCATCTGTCTGAATTTATAATTGTCACTTTTGTTGTCTTCGTTGCCCACTACACTTAAGACTAAATGTTTTACCTGCAGAGCTTAGTGGAATCTCTGCCACACTGTAGGCACTCAGTGCATATTTGTTCTGTGTATGAAGGAGACAGTGTTTAAAAATGCACAGTCCTTTTTACCTAAAAAGTACTCACATATTTTATTTCCACCTTGTTTTCTCCCTGACACAGAGTCTGTTAGCCTATCAAGAATTGAGGATGCATTTCATTTATATGAAAACTTCCTGGAACTTAAGAATAGTGAGCATGAACGACTTATAGCAGAAATTAAACAAATGGGAAATATGGTTAGTGTCCTACAAAAGGAGCTCTCTGAAACAAAAGAGACAGAATTACAGTTAGAGCATCAGAAGATCGAATGGGAACGAAAGCTGCGCAGGTTGAGGTATGACACTCTAGTTTTTGTTTGTTTTGTTTATTATTATACTTAAATTCTGGGGTACACGTGCAGAACATGCAGGTTTGTTACATAGGTATACACGTGCCATGTTGGTTTGCTGCATCCATCCCCGCATCATCTACATTGGATATTTCTCCTAATGTTATCCCTCCCCTAGCCTCCCAACCTCCTGATATCCCTCCCGTAGACCCCAAGCCCCCAAATAGGCCCCAATGTGTGCTGTTCTCCTCCCTGTGTCCATGTGTTCCGATTGTTCAACACCCACTTAATGAGTGAGAACATGAGGTGTTTGGCTTTCTGTTCTTGTGTCAGTTTGCTGAGAATGATGGTTTCCAGCTTCATCCATGTCCCTGCAAAGGACATGAACTCATTATTTATGGCTGCATAGTATTCCATGGTATATATGTGCCACATTCTAGTTTTAAAGAAATATTTATACTAAAGATAATATATTAGAATTTTTATAATTTCTGACTTGCCTTCTGGGGATTAATGGGAGAAACCTTCTTGGTCTTGTGGAACATGAAATTCTTGGAAATAATAAATTATTTTAACTGTGAACTCTTCTGCTAATAAATAAATGCATATTCTTTGCAATCTTAATGGCCATGTAGAAGTCCACCATATGAAATTTTGTTATTCATTTAACGAATTGCAATTTGAGTTTTGAAATTATCTTGTATTTATAATTAATGATATAAGGAGCATCTTTTCTCATTATTATTATTTATAGACACAGGGTCTCACTCTGTGCCTGAGGCTGGGGTTCAGTGGTGTGATCATACCTCCCTGCAGCCTCGAACTTCATCCTTCTGCCCCAGCATCCTAAGTAGCTGGGACTACAGGTGCCTGTTCCCATGCCTGGCTAACTTTTAAAGTTTTTTTGTAGAGACAGGATCTCACTACATTGCTCAAGATGATCTCCAACTCCCAACCTCAAGCATTCCTTCTGCCTTGGCCTCCCAAGTCATTAATATTAACAGGCATGAGCCGTCATGCCCAGACCATAACATTTTTTATATAAATCTCACATCCCTAAACTGTTTGCTTTGAATAAATTATCCAATATAGAATTATTAGGTTGAAATACAGGATCTTTGATCAATATTAATTTTTCTGAAGAATGTTTGTGTTAATTTACAGTCCAACCAATAGAGCATGAACTGGCCACTTTTCTTAAACCAAAGTAATTTTTAAAAAATTTCTACAGTTTTATTCTTTTTCAGAATTTTGGTATATTTCATAGCTTTAGGGGATACAAGTGGTTTTTGGTTACATGGATGAATAGCTTAACTCCCTATTATGAATGAGAACATGTTTTTATTTGGCTTTCCATTCCTGAGTTACTTCACTTAGAATAATGGCCTCTAGTCCCTTCCAAGTTGCTGCAAAAGACATTATTTCATTCTTCTTACGGCTGAGTAGTACTCCACGGTGTATATATACCACATATTATTTATTCCATTCACTGGTTGTCGGACACTTAGGTTGATTTCATATCTTTGCAATTGCAAAATGTGCTGCAATAAACAAACATACATTTGCTGGTGTCTTTTTGATGTAATGATTTATTTTCCTTTGGGTAGATACCCAATAGGGGATTGTTGGAGTGCGTGGTAGCTCTATTTTAGCTCTTTGAGAAATCTCCCTACTGTTTTTCATAGAGGTTGTACTAATTTACATTCCCATCAGCGATGTATGAGCAGGCATTCCCTTTTCACCACATCTGCACCAACATCTTTCTATTGTTTTTCAACCTTTTAATAATGAGGATGCTGGCTGGAATACAGTGATATCTCCTTGTTGTTTTAGTTTGCATTTCCCTGAATATTAGTGATATTGGGAATTTTTAGCTGTGTTTGTTGGCCATTAGTGCATCTTCTTTTGAGAAATGTCTGTTCATGTCATTTGTGCACTTTTGGATGGGATTATTTGTATTTTTCTTGCTGATTTGTTTGTCCCTTGTCAGATGCATAGTTTGCAAATATTTTCTCCTATTCTGTAGGTTGTCTGTTTACTATGATGATTATTTCTTTTGCTGTGCAGAAGCCTCTTCATTTAATTAGGTCCCATGTATTTATTTTTGTTTTTGTTGCTTTTAGTTCTAGGGTCTTTGTCATAAATAATTTGCCTAGGCCAGTGTCCAGAAGAGTTTTCTCCTACACTTTCTGTCAGATTTTTTTTTGTGGTTTCAGGTTATAGATTTAAGTTTTTAATTCATCTCTTTTTTAATTAAAAAATATTTTTTGGTAGAGACAAGATCTCACTATGTTGCCCAGGCTGGTCTTGAATTCCTGGGTTCAAGCCATTCTCCTGCCTTGGCCTCCCAAAGTGCTGGGATTACAGACAGAAGCCACCATGTTAGGGCCTAATCCATCTTGAGTTAACGTTTATATATGGTGAGAGATAGGGATCCACTTTCATTCTTCTACACGTGGCTATTCAATTTTCCCAACACTGTTTATTGAATAGGGTGTCCTTTGCCCAGTTTATGTCTTTGTACACTTTGTGAAAGGTCAGTTGGTTATACATATTTGGCTTTATTTCTAGGTTCTGTATTCTGTTCCACTGGTCTATGTATCTACTTTTATACCAATACCATGCTGTTTTGGTTACTTTAGGCTTGTCGTGTGGTTTGAAATCTGGTATTGTGATGCCTCTGGCTTCATTCTTTTTGCTTGAGATTGCTTTGGCTAGTCAGGCTCTTTTTTTATTCCCTGTAAATTTTAGAAGTACTTTCTCTAATTTTATAAAGAATGAAAGTAGTATTTCGATAGGAATTGCATTGAATCTGTAGATTGCTTTGGTTAATATGGTCGTTTTCAATATATTGATTCTTCTAATCTATGAACATAGGGCATATTTCCATTTGTTTGTGTCATCTGTGATTTCCTTTTTTTCTATGAAAGATGTCTTCAGCAGTGCTTTCTAGTTCTCCTTTTAGAGATCTTTCATCTTGGTTACCAAGGACGTGAAAGATCCTAAAAGGTTGTTTTTGTTGTTGTTGCCGTCACTATCATAAAAGGGATTAGGTTCTTGATTTGATTCTCACCTTGGCCATTCTTGATGTATACTAGTGCTACTGATTTGTGTACATTGATTTTGTAACCTGAGACTTTTACTGATTTCATTGATCAAATCCAGGAGTGTTTAGGATGTTTAAAGCTAAAAGATTATGTCTTGGGCAAACAGATAGGTTGACTTTCTCTTTTCCAATTTGGATGTCCTTTCTTTCTTTCTTTCTCTTGACTGATTGCTCTGGCTAGGACTTCCCAGTTTCATTCTCAATATGCATGAAATAAAAAGTAAAATGGAAAGTAATTGATGATTAGTTTATTCCACATCTTTCATAGGCAGATAAAATTAATTCCAAATTTGATGTTGAAACACACATTATCCTTTACTTTTAAATTAAATATTAGATCCTGTCTTGTTCCAAAAGGGATTTAAACATTGTTTGTAAAATGCATAAGAATCAAGAAGATAAGTTGAAAGTGTTACCAAAAAGAGAGACCTGAAAAGTATAGAGGTAACAGTTATTAAACAGCTTAGCCTAGTCTTGGATTATAGTAGTCTGCGGATACATGTTGTGTGAATGACATCTGAAGGTGTTATCTTACACTGTAAATCATTATTTTGGGCTACACATACAATATTTCACAAAGATGAAAATGTATTTCTAGTGAATTTCTAAACTTGTTCGTAAATAGTAACTTCTTTTAAATTAGCTAACTCTAAATGATCTAATTAACTAATTTTCAATTTGCATAACATGAAAAAGAAGTAATTTTCAACTTGTAACTTTACTGAGAAATTTCAAATATGCTCTTCTCAGGTTTACTAGTAACAGAAACTTACCAGTTAACAGAATGTTTCTTTCCTCGCTACTTCTCAAATATATATGGCCCTTAGAAGAGAGGGAAGTGAGAAATTAAAAACATGAGAACTAGAAAGGAAACAAGAACATAGGAGTTTTTATGAGGATTATAAACCCACGTGGAAGAGCCAGATGACAAAATAAACTTTTTTATTTTCTAACAAAACACATTTTAATATCCACATTTAACTGCAGACTTGCCTTAAAACAAGAAAAAGAGAAGAAAGAAAATGCCGAAATGTTGTGTAATAAAGTTAGTGAACAGTTAAGAATAAAAGAAGAGGAAAGTACGGAAAAGGCTGAAATGACGCAAGGACTTAAACGGAGTCTGAGAAAACTCATTAAGGAATTGAGGATGGTAAGAGACAACTTGGATCTGGTAAATTAATCTTTGGTGAAAACTTCATATTTCTAACTTAATGTTTCATCAGTATTGCTTATTTTTTTTGGCTTCATGTATATCATTTAGGTTTAAAACAAACCAAAACTGTTATCTCCTCTTAAAAATGAACTATGACATTTATAGCTAAAATTATTTATTATAAGCCTTGGCATCTAAATAGATGCTCAGTCTGTGTTTTCAGAATGGAAGATGAGTTTAATCACTAAATGAGTTTACACATTTTTATGTTAAAATACAGGCTAAATAGCTTTGAAACTATAATGACACTAGTTAAATGTTTTGAAAGAAATTTTAGTTTAAAATGCTGTATCTTCCCATATTTAAGAACTGTTTTTCCTCTTTGACAAATGTAATTGTTATGTATGCAATTAAGATTTGGGTGATTCTTGAGGGATAAAAGTTCTTGTGTGTTAACAGGCTACTTTCTTTTAACCATTTTATAAGAGAGGCTCTGCTCTTTTTTTCTTTTATCTTTTTTCTTTCTTTCTTTCTTTTTTTTTTTTTTAAGACAGAGTCTCACTCTGTTACCCAGGCTGCAGTGCAGTGGTGGGATCTCGGCTCACTGCAACCTCCGCCTCCTGGGTTCAAGCAATTTTTCTCCCTCAGCCTCCGAAGTAGCTGGGACTACAGGCGTGTGCCACCATGCCTAATTTTTTTATTTTTAGTAGAGATGGGGTTTCACTATGTTGGCCAGGATGATCTCCATCTCCTGACCTCGTGATCCGTAGACCTCGGCCTCCCAAAATGCTGGGATTACAGGCGTGAGCCACCATGCTCAGCCAAGAGAGGCTCTGCTCTTAATTAACCTTTTAGTGTTTTTTTTTTTCAGTGCTATTAGACAAACACCTCCATGTTATCTCTAGGTCAAGCAGCAGCAAAAGGATGCCCAGCAGCAACTTTCCGAAGAACAGAATGCCAGAATAGTACAAGATCAGATTCTGACCAGTAAACCAAAGGAGCTAGAAATGGCTCAAAAGAAAATGGATTCTGAGGTATTTTCTTTGGCCATTTTCAGATATGTTTTTGTAGGTGAATATATTTTTTAAAAACAACTCTATGCAACTTGGAATTCTAATGGATTTTTGAATCCCTCACACACACACACACACACACACACACACACACACACACTTGGGGCTGGTGACAGTGGTTCTGGAATTTTTGGCCCATTGTATAACATCATTTTCTTAATTCAACTTCATTTGTCTGCAAGGGTCAAGCAGTGACTTTCACAGGGGCCTTATCCAAAGGAGAAACATTTGTTATTATTCATAGGAATTAATGATCTTTCCACAATCTCAAAACCCTTGCTAACATCAAACATTCCAGCTTTCAGACTTGATTTCATCTTTCTAATATATTAATGGAGAGGTTAGATGCTTATTTCTACTGGTAGTAAGGATGAAATGTATAGCCAGTTCAGAGGCCATACTCCAGATGCCATACCCCTTACTTTTGGGGACGTCACAGTTTGCTCCAAGTAGCATCTCATTTCAGCACAAAGAGCTTTGAAAACAATGATATGCCGAAACAGAAACTTAGTGATGATTTGTTGATAACTATTTTGTTCTTAGAAAACGACTTCAGTGTATTTTCCCCTGTTTCATGCTTATTTCTGTTTCAAACACTGTAAAGAGGAAACAGAAGTTATTGCAATAGCAGATAATCTGAGGATTTTCTAAGAAAAGCTCTATAACTTCTTTTTTACCACTGGTGTTTTGAAATAAAAAGCTTCTTTTATATTTACGTATTTACAACACAGAAGTAACCATGATTTGGTGGATGAGCACTAGAAGTAACGTAAGAGGACCTGGGGAAAATCCTGCAGCTTGCATATTTTTGACCTCTCCTTTCAGAATTATGATATAAATGAGCTCAGTGATGTATGTAGAAGTGCTTGGTACAAGGCCAGGTGCAGTGGCTCACACCTGTAATCCCATCACTTTGGGAGGCCGAGGTGGGTGGGTCACTTGAGCCCAGGAGTTCCAGAACAGCCTGGGCAACATGGCAAAACCCTATCTCCACAAAAATTACAAATTAATTTAGCAGGGTATGGGGATGTGTGCCTCTAGTTTCATCTACTCAGGAGGCTGAAGTGGGAGGATCACCTGAGCCCAGAAGGCCAAGGCTGCAGTGAGTCTTGATTGTGCCACTGCCCTCTAATCTGAGTCATGGAGTGAGACCCTGTCTCAAAAAAAAAAAAAAAAAGCAACTAATATAATGCTTAGATTTAGCATTTATGAATAAATGTAATTCTTATATAACTTACAATAAAAATGGTAGAAAAATAAAATAGCTACAGGATATTCTCAGGAAAAAAAGAAAAAGAACTTAAGGAACATTGGGAAATTTCCTCTGTCTATTCTGGAAATTCAAGCCGAGAAGAACAGAGAGACCAAGAGACACAGGAGAACCTCTTTATTGGAGCTCCAGCTGACAGTGGCCTTACTGCCTGTAATGCCTGCCAGCCCCACAAAAGGAAAATTCCTTGCTTATATTAGTTTTGGCATGGGAAGATAAGGCAGGAGAAAAAATAGGTTTAAACAAAGACAGTTAGTCATTGACTTGTGACAAGTTTACAACCTTGAGAATACGTATATTTTCTATGTGGTTATCTCGCTCCCATGCCTGTCTCGCTCCCACGGCTGGTAGCTGGGGAAGAGAACAGGTTTTTTGTTTTTTGGGCTTTTTTTTGGCAGAAATCTGCTTGTGAGCTGTGGGTACAAAGATATGCTTGGGTACCTTATCTTGGAAGGAGGAGGCTATACTGGGTCTCCTTTAGCTAACTTCAGGCAATTTAGGCTGAGGGGGTGGTTTACTTGCTCCTCTGCTCTTTGTAACTTTTTGTGGCCTACAGGACAAAATGAAGGCTGATATGTCTGATCTACAAGCTAGGAATGAGATTCTTTCTGAAACACTTGCTAATGCTGAAAATGAAATCAACAGCCTACAAATTCGGCTCCATAATGCAAGAGATGCTGCTGGAGAACAGAATTTGATTTTGGAACATGTGCGAAGAGACCTCGGCCAAACACAGTGTCAGAAGAAAGAAATTGGACAAATGCACCAAACTCAACAAAGAAAACTGAAGAAATACATTGCAAAGCAGGAATCTGTAGAAGAGAGATTATTTCAATTACAAAATGAAAATACGTTGCTTCAACAGCAACTGGATGATGCTCACAAGAAAGTGAACAGACAAGAAAAGACAATCAGTTCTCTCCATGACCAGATTCAGGCTCTTGCCAGTAATATTCGATCTGAGCATGAAAAGCAGAGTCTTCTACTACAAGAGAAGAAAGAAGAATTGCTGGATGAATGTAATTATTTTGAAAAAAGAATGGATCAATGTGAGAAAGAGAAAGCAGGAAGAAAAGTAAGTATTAAGAAAGATAAATATTTTTCAACCTTCCTAAAAGAAAATTTAAAGTAATATTTGATTATGGCTAAATGTTTTATCTAGTTGAATATAAAAATATATAGATCATAAATGTATTTGCTATTAAAACTGAAAGATACTTTACTTTGAGTGAGGAAATTGTGTCACCTATGAAATTTTAAGTTCAGTTACATTGTTAATAAGTACAGATTAACATTCATAATGTTGTCTTATGCTGCTGAAATGATCATTGCAATGCCTTTATATGGCCATGTTTGAAGACCATGGTGAAGCAGATAAACAGAAATGCTTATACCTGACATGAATATTTTGAATTTAAGATTCAGTTAGGAGGGTTACTTTGACCATTAATTCCAGACTTTCCAGGTGAACTGAAGTATACTACTATACTTCAGTATATATTTCCACAATACTTTTCCTCAGTAGTTTTGCAACATATTTAAGTTGGTATAATTTTATTTTTATTCATATCAATTTGACTTAAATCTGAGATGATTTCAGTCTCGAATTACTTGTTATGACCTCTCAATTCTTTAAAGGCATTTACTTTTTAATAAATCATAATTTGGGGCAGATGTGAATTTCAGCAAAGCTATGTTAGATGTAATCTTACCACTTGTATTTATAATTTCTTTGAATGTTTTTACAAACAGTTTGCTCATAATTTTTATTTCAAGGCTCACTGCCTGTCATTCGGATATAACTTTGACCAGTACAAAAGTAACTTTGTTTATCTGTGATTTATTTGTTTGGCCTTGAGTCCCCATTTTTAAACTAATGAGAGGTGATAGGATTCACGTATAGTGAGAATGGACTGAGTAGGGGAGACACTTACAGAAGCTGAGGTCAGGAGGGAGGTAGAGGCCAGGTTACCCAGGGCCTCAAAGGCCATTGGAATTTTACTTGTATTCTGAGATAGGAATCTTTTGGAAGGATCTGAGGAGGCAACTGAATATGCCAGGAACTCTGAAGTTGATTAGAGCTTCTAGTAAAAAAGAGGGAAAAACATTTCACAGTGTGGGATGTACCACCAGCAGCCCCACTCGATTTCTTTTTGGGACTTCAGTAGGTTGTTAAGCATTGCAGATGTTTCAGGGATGAGTGAATAGTGGGCTGAATCTATTGTCTAAGTTAACAGAAAACTGATTTGGCAGAAAGATAGCACCTTCTGTGTCCTTAACTGAATTCAGTAATAAACAAGAATGTGTGCACACGAGGAAAAGGTGAATCCATATATGTGTTGATGTTTTTCAAAGTGTATATGTTAGAGCTAAATATTATTACCATAATTTAATAATAAGGTGATTGATAAAATCAGTAACAAAAATACTTTCACAGGTAGTTATGAGACAACACCAACTAGAATGGACTGATCCCCTAAAACAACAACCTACAGCAGAGACTACATCATTTAATTTAGATGAGACACAGGATTCAAAGAAGAAATTGGGTCAAAGCAGCAGTGAAGTATGTATGAAACCTAACATGTCTACAGTTAATCTATAGGTGGTGAAATAGTGTCAAATGCTTTAGGATACTGATTGAAGTGGATGGCTTTCTTTTGTAGTTTTATGATAATTTTATTATCTTTATAATGTACTTTTTTCTTAACCTCTGGCTTTCATTCTGTCCTTTTCTCCTGATAAGTACATACATTTTTAAAATAAGGATCATTTCCAAAGATCCTTAGGAAAGTTGCAAATTATTAGTATTCCTCACAGAAGTTGAGAGGCTTTTTTTTTTTTTTTTCTGTGAAGTATTTTTTAGTGATTTCTCTATTGCCATGGTTAGGCAAGCCAGATTAAATCGTAGGATAATGTTTAATGGAATGTTTCAGAAATTGTCTTATTTCTTATCTTTACTTTTGCAAATGGGTACAGAATCTGTGTATATTTATTTCATGAATTTCAGGATAACTTGTACAGAAAGGCCACAGTACTGTTCTCCAAAATGCAAATGTTTTAATTTAAAAACCACTTGAAATGTTAGGCCCTTCCTTCATTTACCTTTCATTTTAAATATATTGTACTTTTTTACAAATCACCTATAGTATGTACATCCAAAGTAGAGAATTAAGAGATGTATCTAGATCCTACCACTGAATTTTTTTTTAAAATTTACTGAGACAAAATTCGTATACTGCAGTTTACCCATTGAACGTGTACAATTCATGGTCTCTCAGTATAGTCACAGAGTTGTGTAACCATCACCATCATCAATTGTAGGACATTTTCATGACCCTGAAAAGAACCAGCAATCTATTTTGTTTCCATAGATTAGCCCATTCTGGACACCACATATCGACTGGATCACACAATATGTGGTGGCCTTTTGTGTCTGGCTTCGTCTACTTAGTATAACATTTTAAAGGTTCATTGTGTTGTAACATGTATCAGTACTTAATTTCATCTTTCTGCTGAGTATTGTTCCACTGTATGGACGTACCACTCATTTTATTTAGCCATTTATCAGCTGATGGACCTTTGGGTTGTTTCCATGTTTTGGCTATTAATCATCCTGCTATGAAATTTTATGTACAAGTTTTTGTGTTTGTGTATGTGTTCTTCTCTTGGGTATATACTTAGGAGTTGAATTTCTGGGTCCTATAGTAACTCTATGCTTAAGCTTTTGAGGAGCTGACAGTCTGCTTTTCAAAGTGGTTGCACCATTTTACATTCTCATCAGCATTGTATGAAGGTTCTAACTTCTCCACATCTTCGCCAGCACTTTTCATATTTTTTATTTAAAAAGGATTCCAACCCAGAGGTATAAAGTGGTATCATGTCATTGTTGCTTTGATTCACATTTCCCTAATGGTGAATGACTTTAAGCCTCTTTTCATGTGCTTATGAGCCATTTGTATATCTTCTTTGGGAAATGTCTATTCGAATCATTTGCCCACTCTAAAATTGGGTTATTTTAAATTGCTGAATTTTAAGAGTTGTTTATATACTCTAGGTGTATATAAACAATAAATCAGATATATTGTTTCTGAATATTTTCAATGGCTTTCCTTTTTACTTTCTTTCTTATGATTTATTATGTTTTTAAAAGTTATATAATTTTAAGTTGTAGAGAGAAGGTCTCACTAAGTTGCCCAGGCTGATCTTGAACTGAGCTCTAGCAATCCTCCCACCTCAACCTCCCAAAATGTTGGGATTACAGGTGTAAGCCACCATGCCCAACCTCTTTTCCCTTTCTTAATGGTCTCCGTTCAAGCACAGAAGTTTTGCATTTTAATGAAGTCCAGTTAATCAATTTTTCTGCAGTCACAAAGATCTATGGCTATGTTTTCTCCTAGGAATTTTATAATTTTAGTTCTTACATTCGGTGGTTCTGTTTTGTTAGTTTTATATATGACATTTGGTGGAAATCCACCTTTATTCTCTTGCACGTGGATATACAGTTGTCCCAGCACCATTTGTTGAAAAATCGATTCGTTTCTCATTTTTTTTATACCCTTGTTGAAAATCAGTTGACCATAAAAATGTAGGTTTGTTTTTGGATTCTCAATTCTAATATGTTGAGCCAGTACCGAATCACATTTTAGGAGAATTCATTTTCAGTCCTGTTGCTTATTACGAGTTGTCTTATGTAAGAATAGAAATTCAAGTAGTAGAATGTCTTTAATTTCACTTTATGCTTCTTGAAGGAGTGTATGCCTTGCTGACTCCATGACATGATGAGAGTCAGGCTTGCAAAGACAGATCCCATTAATTTTTTTTCTCCAGTCTCACCTTTTGTCTCTCACCCAGTGCCTCTCTCTTCACTCCCATTTCTGTCAATTCTTGGCCACAGGATCTGCTGACTGCATCTACTATTTATTGCATTATGTTTCATTAGCTCGTTATAAGTCATGGAGTCATGTGTAGATTTGAACTATCTATGAAGCTCAAGGTTAAGTCTGGGCTGTCATCTTTCCTCATTGGAAACTGAGCTCATTTATCATGTTGCAGTTCACAGTTAGATCCTCTTTTGACCCAGCACCTGGTTCTCTTATACAACCCCGGGGCTAAATCCTATTCTTGGCACAGATCCTACATTCTCAGAAACCAGAGTTCCCTGCATTTACCTCCTTTTGCTTAAATGGAGATGTGCAGCTATGCTTTTCTAGCTCAATACATAATTCATTGAATAAATGCTTCAACCTATTCAAAGAACAACTTCCAGGAGTGCAGCACCTGGAAATCAGGTAATGTCCAGGCATTTATCAGAAACAAAGAGTCGAATTAGTTGTATGAATTTCAAAATTTCAGAGCCGATTTATATGACATGGAGAAGCATTTTGGTACAACATAAAGATGAGCTGCTCTTTTCTTCTCCATACAAATGAGGTAAAGGGGAAATTGCATTGAATAGCTTAACACTCAAAGGACACTGCATTTGTTTTACTTTTGAGATTGTTAAAACTGATTCCATAATTTTTTAAATTTCCTCATTGAGGAAATGAAAATGAAGATTGAATCCTAGATTGATGAATAAATATCCAAACCTGCTTATCACTTTTAAAATTTCAGTTCCTTGAAATCAGGTACAATGTCTGATTTTTGGTTATTAATCCAATATTTCTAGTTTTTTCAACTTTATACTTCAAATTATATATCTCCTTCCTTCCTCATCTTCCTCATTTCATAACTCGGGGGACAATTTCTAAAAGCCTCACGGGCTTAGTCACTGGAATTTGTAATCAATGGGAACTTTTTCTAAACTTCCTCCTCAGTAGTTCTTATGTCTTTCTTATGAGAAAGACCCGGCACCTGGTTCTTATGTCTTAAGACATAAGAACTACTGAGGAGGAAGTTTATCATATAAATTATATGTATTTATCATATAAATTTGCTTTTCTAATTCATACAATTAGAAAAGTTCTGCCTCCCATTAGAGTTGTTTGTCATTAATAAATTAACCTCAACATTTGTTAGCTCTTACTTTAAAGGAGACTAATTTCTACTGGGTCTGTTATTCTATTGCTTATTATCTCCTTGTTTAAATTTATTTTTCTGGTTATTTTTTCCTACAAATTACCCAAAATTGAGTGGCTTAGAACGTTTGTTTAGTTCACCAATCTGTGGTTTGGGAAAACCTTGGCCAGGGCAGCTTGCCTCTGCTCCCTTCAGCTTCACTTGGGATAAATCAAAGGCTGAGGGACTAGAATCATCTGAAGATTTGTTCACTAAGATGTCTGTTGCTTACGGCAGCTATTGGTTGGAACTTTAGTTGGGGCAGGGTACCCAAATATTCTACACTGGAACTCCTAGGCTCTCTTTGTGGCTAAGTTTCCTCACAACATGGGGGCTGGGTTTCAAGGCGAGCAGTCTGCGGTAGAGAGCCTCTTCAAACCTAATGTAGGAAGCAACATCGTTTTATCACTTTTAACACATTCTGTTCATTAGAAGCAAGCCATTAAGTTTCACCCATAGTCTATGTATTGGATGAATTATTTTGCTTTTACTTTTATTTATGTATCTTTTTTTAGACATGGTGTCTTGCTATGTTGCCCAGGCTGGCCTTGACCACCGTGGCTCAGGAATTCTTTCCATCTCAGTCTTCCAAGTAGCTGAGATCACAGGCCTGTGACACCACAGCTGGCTTCCTTTTATTTTTTGTGGACTTGTATAACTGTACATATTTATGGTATACACAGTGATATTTCGATATGTGTAAACAATGTGTAATGGTCAAATAAGACTAATTAACATATCCATCACCTCAAACATTTACCATTTCTTTGTGCTGTGAACTTTGAAAATCCAATCCTCTAGCTTTTAAAAACTATTAGTTGACCAAACCAGGTGTGGTGGTGCACACCTGTAATCCTAGCTTCTAGGGAGGCTGAGGCAGAATGGCTTGAACCGTGGAGGCAAAGGTTGCAGTGAGCTGAGATTGCATCACTGTACTCCAGCTTGAGTGACAGAGTGAGACTCTGTCTCAAAAAAAAAAAAAAAAGAAAAGAAAAGTTAACCATATTCACCCTACAATGCAGAAGAACACTAGAATTCATTCCCCCTGTCTAGCTATCATTTCGTATCCATTAAACAACCTCTCCCATCTTCCACTCCCCCTTACCTGTCTCAGCCTCTGTTACCCACAATTCTACTCTCTACTTCCAAAAACTTTTTTTTTTAATTTTAGCTTCCATATGAGTGAGAACATACAGTAGTTATTTTTCTGTGCCTGAATTATTTCACTTAATGTCACTTAATGTTTTCATCCATGTTGCTGTCAGTTCATGATTTTATTCTTTTTTATGGCTAAATAGTATTCCACTGTGTACATATACCACATTTTCTTTCTTTTTTTCTTCTCTATTTTATTTTATATATATATATATTTTTTTTTTTTAATTGCATTTTAGGTTTTGGGGTACATGTGAAGAACATGCAACATAGTTGCATAGGTACACACGTTGCAGTGTGCTTTGCTGCCTTCCTCCCCTTCACCTATATCTGGCATTTCTCCCCATGCTG